TTAGTTTGTCCATTGCCGTTAAATTGATGCACTCAGCCATGTCCAGACTGTTTCTGTGAGATGTATCCAGGATTGCCTCAGTTCTAAATGGGGCTACTACTGCCTTTGTCCAGCAGTATTTGCAAATGATTTGTCAGTTTCCTTTCCATTCGTGTCATTTCTTGAAATGGGAAAGCTGAAATGCTGCCACACAGCAGCTATTAAAGTCAACTATAGAGCATAGGCTATGTCAATTTCAAATTATTATGCTGCATTTGATAAAATTGGAACACTGAGTGATATGGGAAGGGTGGCCTGTGATCAGATATGATTTTATCCCTTCTCCTCCAAGATTACAGCAAAATCTGAGCTTTTTAACGCTCTCTGTTGTGTGTGTGTTTCAACAGAAAACCCTAGGACAGCAGTGGAAGGGCAAGTGACAGTAATATACTGTATGCTTCCATGTTAATCAAGATCCACCTGTTGGCTGTTAAGGTCAATGAGGTCATTTTCTTTACTTCAGCCACCACACTTCCTTTCATTTGCTCATATCTTGTGCCAACCATTTCCTTCAGTGCATGCCTTGAAGGAAGCTTATAAATCAGGGTTCAGATTGGGAAAAAAAAGTCCCAAATCTTCTTTCCACTGCAGAAAACTGTTGTGACTCTATGATGACAGGGTCCACCAGGGCCTCATCAAGCTCCTTTTGTCTACTGGAAGCTGATAAACAACATTAACACTCATTACCTATAGATAAAGCCAGTTTTCATCAATTTATAAATTGTAGGCCATATAGTAATAAAGCCAATAGAAGCCATGAACATTTTAATAACAAAAATACACTAAATTGCTATACCTACATGAAGAAAAAGAGATCAACAAACAAAAGAAAACATTTCTTATGTCATGTTTTTTGTTAGAAAATGCCAAACAAGGGAATAGGACCCCAGTGCGGACACACAGGACAGACAGCCTGGTAGATGCTGTAGCACCATTTAATGATAACATGACAAAGTAAAAGTTGAGGCAGATAAAAGTGAGCGAGGTGGACCACTGGAGACATGAGTCCAAATGAAGGTGAACAATAAGTCCACTGGGAAAATTGATGAGGCAAAATCATAATCCACACAGACTCCAAGTAAGTAATCCAAACACAGGTAAACATGAGGACCACTAGTAAAAATGACTGAAACACTACAGCGAATCAGAGAATCTGACAGAGACCTTTGAGACACTGGGGAGCTAATGAGGGAAGTGAAAACTGGTAAGCAGGCTTCCAGGGATGTCTGGAGGCTGGATAAAGAAATGATAGTCCATATGAACAACCATGTAAATATCAAGGGCCTGAGACAGGAAGTTTGACACCTCATTTAATCACATCTGAAGTTCCAGATCACCCTGCATTATGAGCAGCACTTAAATCACAGGTTGCTTAGCATAGAGGTGTCTTATCAGTGATGATGTGTTGTTGCAAAACACAAGATTTGGGTTACAATTGGTTCATTTCACTTGCTGCACCAAGTTAAATTGCTACACTTAAGCAACCTTCCCCATCACCTATCACATTTTTTGGAATATTTTTATCTTCCCATACAGCGGATGTCATATAGTTATGTAAAATATATAATAACCATGTAGAGGGGTGGAGAGGCAGTGCGCATTGATTTTCTGCAGGCTGTGTCCATGCAGTTTCCCTCTGCTCCTGCAAGAAACGGTCTGTGGCAGAAAATAATCAATGTGCAGGGATTTTTGCCTACTTGTTAGTACTTTTTTTTGCTCGAGGTAAATGGCCTTGACACATTAGGCAGCAAAGACAGCAACTGCCCCGGACAGTGCACAATGGATTACAACAGCCTCAGCAATAATATAGTGCTTGAAAAGAAAAGTGTTGTTAGGTAAGCAGACTATACTGCCTGCACAGCAGCTTCTGCCAGGAGAATGGTATGTATGTAACAGTAATAAAATATATCAGTAGAACTCAGAGAATCAACATATTTCTTGTTGTTAGTTTGGTTTTTAAATTGTATACATTGCCAGCCTTGATGAAACACTGTCATATATGGTCCAGAGTCTGACAAAAGCTTTCATTTCAGGTAGCTGATATTAATAAAGTTTCTTGTTGGATGAATGATGAATATAAGAACCCAACTGAGCACATGTCAGCACTGGAAGAATTCACAGCAGTCATCATTTATTCATTTATTCAGATTGATTGCATGAATATTCCATTAAACTCAGTATTATCCAAGATGGTCCAAAAGCATATTTCATCAACCATAGTACTTCTCTGCTGCTGTTATATGCTCCCATTACACATCACTAACTGTGTCTCCTCTGTCTCTCTCCCTGTACCTTTCTGCAGGTTGCCCTGGCTCTGGAGCTCTACGTTTCTGATCAGCTGTCACCAGCCACATCAATCTGCCCAGTGTTTGATTGTTGTGTCTTGTTGCTTTTCTTTTCTTTTCTCTCTCCTCTATCCACTCACCCCAACTGGTCAAGGCAGAAGGCCGCCCACCAAGAGCCGGGATCTGTGGAATTTCACTTTGTAGATTGTCACATTACATGAGACATTCCAGCAACGTTTAACGTTGCAAAAATTACGCTGCAGTGGCTCTGTGTTAGTAGGGAAGGTCAGCCACTCAGTGTGTTTCAAACTATCTACCCTGCCATACTGGCTGCCATTGTCTTTCCAGTGTACTTCACTGCTGGTTGTTTGCATGTCTTTGTAGTCTGTAGTAGATGATGAATGGTTTGAATGGACATAACATACACTTTTGGAAAGTGTCTTCTTGAAAGAATTCTTGTATTTGATTGTACACACAAAAAGTGATGGATGTAGTCACTTGACAAAGGAAGCAGGAGAGCTTGAGAGAGCAGTTGAAAGCATGCCTACTTTTAAACCTGGATAATATATGTGCAAAAGACTTGGACCTGTGACACCAAGCTGACGGTCGGCTGTCAGCCACTGATGAGCTGTCAGTGAACGTCTGTTGCCCTTGCTCTTTGCACTGTGTCCCGCACCACTGGCACTAGTCGGACCCTGTCAGTGGCTTTTCAGCTGATTCGGCATGTTGAATTGGCAGCAGAGGCCATTGGTGAGAGAGACAACTCTGATTGGCTGATCATCTTAGGAAATCAGTGCACTAGAAGAGAAATGTCTGGGGAAGCGATTGACTGTCACCGTGCTGGTCGGCGTCTAGTTCCATAGACTATAAATTCCCTTCTCTATTGTTACACCTACTGCACTTGTATATACTGTATAGCACCCATTAAATCCTTTGCACCGAAGTCAGCCATCTGGGTCTGTTCTTTATTCGCTCACTCCCCGTGGGTGAGAGACTCTGACAGCTTCAGGTGGTGCATGTGGCAAAATTTTGAAATGCACTGTCACTGTTGGCGTTACTTTCCTCAATTTTGTATGCACACAAGCTTGTACCTTTCATTTGTCTATCACAGTATTTTGGAATAATGATTTAACAAAGTGAATTTCATGCATATCCGCACTGCAGAAGTGCAGCAGCTGTGGGTCAAAAATGAATGACTAAGATTGTCATCCCACCATTGAAAAGATGGTTTCAGATGGTGGCTGATAATCCACCAGTCACTTTGTCTGAAGCATTCTGAGCATTTTGCTGTGAACAGAAAGTACAGCTTTTGGGGCTCTGGGTTCCTTGCTCAGGGTCCCAGCACACATTTAGAGATTGCTACTGATGACCACTTGGTCACAAGTCTGCTTTTTGATACCCCTTAGGTTTCTCGACATCATAACACACCAGTTCTTCCTGAAGCACAATTTTGTAAGCATGTCATGCTCCATAAAGTGAATGTACTCACATAAAGTCAGCACTGTTTGAGTGCTGACCAAAGTTCACTGACCAAATCATAAAGCAAAGGCTTGTTTTCTTGTGAATGACTCTTGAATCTTTCAGACTATTGAATCTGGCTGGGCACAAACAGCAGTGACAGGCAGATGCTGCTGAATGAAAGCTCTGTCAAAACCAAAAGTCTCAGACAGTCTCCCTGTTCTTCTGGAGTCATTCTATTCCGTGCTTTCTGAGAGCCCTCCAGCCACACAGCCTCTTCATCATCTGTCGGTGGCAGGCCTCAGGTCAGCTCAAAGAGGCAGCAGGTGGTCTGTGGTGACCTCGACCTCTCCACATCCAAATGGCTGAACTCTGGATCTGCCCAAGTCGCAAGAGTCTCAGTTCCAGTGACGTGCGGTGAGGTTGACAGCTGGTGAGGCACTAACTCTTTTACAGTCAGATTTACAAATACAAATGAACCGTTAAATTGTCTGTTAACAGACAATGCATTATGTTTTATATCTCATATCAGCATTCTTCACACAATTGTGACCATATTTAATTTGAGGTGAAAATTTATTCCAGTTGAGCTTATTTCTAGCTAGAAATAATAAAAGTTTATGGTCTTACCTTTACTTGTACACGAAATCCATTTGTCAGCTGGTATTATTACAAACCCTTTTACTGTTCGAATCCAATATTAAAACAAATTTTTTCAATAAAGAAGATCCTTCTGGACAAAAATGTCCAGACTGTCAAAAATGTTTTGATTGAAAGTCCAGATTTGCGAATTTTCTCAGCTTGGAAATGTAATCTTCCATTTTGATAAGGTGGATTGTAAAGGAAATATATGTAGCCCACCTGACTCACCAGAATTACAGGGAGGGCTCTGAGTTCGGTTAATCGGTAGGATAACTATGTAAAAGTGATGTCTAGAGAGTCTTGCGTCTCATACTGTCACACGCTACACCAACCTGAGGTACATACAGCTTTATACAAGGGATGCCACCACTCAAACACTCACAATCGGTGATAAAGATGAACTAAGGCACAACTTTAATACAGATAATAATAATGAAGACAGATTACGCAATACTGGAAAACATGCGGCCATTCGAAGCTGTGGCCGTAAGGTCTCCGATGCCTGTCGTGGTGGCAATCCCCAAACGCGGCGAGTCGATGCTTGTGAGCGTGAAGGCCTAAAACGATGTGGCCGTTTCACTCAATTGAGCAAAATAAATAAGGGTACCTTAGTCTTGGGAGTGTGCAGTCTGTAGCAAAACAGAAATGAATGGAGCAGGATCAGAACACGTAGTCGAAGCCAGGTAATCGCGGGACATGCACACATACTAAGGGTATAAACCAGCAGCAAGTTAACTGAAAACAGGTGTATAAATACAGGACTGGACGGAGCGATAATGAACAGCAGGTGAACGGTGTGGAGACTGATTGTCCAGGGGATAATGAGCACAGGTGAGTGGAATAAGGACTAATAGCGGTGACAGAGGAGTGGGAAGAGAACAGGTAAACAGAAACGTAAATATGGGAAGTCGAGCTACGCAGAACAGTCTCCTAAGCAGTGGATTAGTGGTTCGATTCCAAGCTTGTCCTTGAGCAAGACACTGAACCCCCAGTTGCTCCCGGTGATAACACCGGTGTGTGAGCGTTTGGGAGTGCAAATGGGTAAATGGTCAAGTAGTGTGAAAGTGCTTTGAGTGTGCTGTAAAGCGTAGAAACGTGCTATATAAGTATAGCACGACCATTTACATACAGAACAGATTGAACAAATAATTCACTTTTCTATAGTAAATAGGCTGTAGCATACAAAATCAGGAGAAGACTTAGAAAAGCATGGGCTAACATGAACTGGCCAGTTTGTACAATCACCAGGTTACAGCCTTTCTCTTCTGCTCTCCTCTGAAGCAATGAAATGGTGCCACATTCACATCCAAAGTGAATTCTTTGAATTTCCTTCCCACCGGTGTGCTACTCACAAATGCATGGAATGAGAGTAATGCCAGCGGACTGTGGATAAGAAACTGCTGTGTGTTGTGGTAGGTAGTCCACTCCCTGGGAGGAGGGAAAGTGCTGAGAGACTGCTGGTAGTGATCTCCTTTATTGGTTTTACTGTCATTTCTTTAATGCGCACAGGAGCCCAGAAAGCCTTGGCTTTACATTGCACTGTTTTTAGATTGAGATGGTAAAATGAAGTATGTCTGATATCATGTGACTGTGTGTCTCCTCTTACTAGAATCCATCATACTGATAGGGGGCTATGAAACTTGCCGCTCCTACAGACACTGGTTTAATCACTTCCCTCCACTGTCTGTCTCCGACCAGAGGAAGGAGGGGCTGGAGAAACAATTGCATTTCCTTCCAACAAACTGTCACCTTGTAGGGTTCTGTTGAGCAGAACAGCTTTCAGGAGACTAATGGGCAGCTGCTGGTGTCATCTTTTTTTTTGGAGTGCATGTGAAGTTGTGAAGGTGGTGGATAGGGGGTGGCAGGAGGCAGATCCGTAACCTGAGTAGAGGTGCATCCCTAGTTTATAAAGAGAGGCAGGGCATGAAAAGAGATGCTGAAGAAGACTGAGGGGAAATTATAAGATTGAGTTTTAATGACAAGAAACAAACAAACAATCAAAAAACACAATAGGGCTAGTCAGCAAGGCTTTGGCTAAACTGTGAAGGCTAAGCACTGCTCTGACTTTGATAAAAACTTCTCTCTGTCATCGCACAGACACACTCCTACATGTCTTGCATAAAGCAACATAACACTGATATATCATGTTGATGTTGACCATACTGTGATCAAAACTCCTGCCATTCATTGTATTTTAACCTAATACCAAGGCAGCATTGTGATCAGGTTCTATATGGTTCTAATACTTTTATGCTATGAAAATGTAACAGAATCATATTAGTACAAATGATCAACTGTCAACAACCAACAAGTGGTGTAGTCTTTAACAGACCCATATCGGCCGACCTTTCAACACAGAGTATTCACCCTGCTCGCTGCACGTTCAGAGTGTAATGCTCACTCACAATAGCATGTGTGCATGCAGTCCATGAATCATTAACCATCTGCTGGTTGGGTGGAATGAGGGAGGGAGGGTTGGGTGGAGAGGTGGATGACAGAGAGGAAGAGAGAGCATAGAACAAAGTCTGCTTTTTTATGGCACCAAAACAAAGGATCTGTTTAGTTGCCTGCAGCATGATGGGAAGATTAGGATGGGGGGGTTGTGGTAGGGAAGAACAGAGTAGCCCAGTAATCAGTCATGGTGGTTAGCAGAGGCTGCTCATGACACTGATATTTTATTGTCTTTCACTGTAACTTGGTTTAATGTTTATAAAGGCTATTGTGTATCATGATAATGATATTGTATTTTATATTGTCAGGGATCAATCCAACCAGATAAACACGTCCTCTAACACCAAATGATTACTGTCCTGTCATCTGTCAATCAAATAAGTTACACTGCTGTCAAGTTTGGTTATGTCAGTTTTGTATAGTGATGTTAGCAACCATTTTGAATAATTGTGTGGATGCTGACAAGCATCCACACTATGTTGTCCTCTTATTGTGTGGATGCGTAAGCATCCACACTATGTTATGCAGTTCTTTATTATTCTGGTTTCTACCACTGTTTTTCGGCATCTAATTTCTGCAGCATACTTTCACCTAGAAGGGCCATTGAGGTATCAAACTGTTTATCTCCTTAAGGACATGTGTGCTTGTATACAACTTTTTTATAACTTTTATACTTTTTACAATATTCAGCTTTTTTTACAGAAATTTCCCCATTGGAAATGACTGGGACAAAGTTATAACTTTTCAATTTGTTTAATATCATGACATAATACAACAGTGTAATAACACAACAGGCTGCTCTAATTGTTTGAAACTGAATACAGAAATGCCCATTTGCTTGTCGCTGCCTCTCTGGTTGTCGCTCCCTGCTTCTCTCTGCAGACGCTGTCAACAGCTGCTTGTCAAATGTATTCAACTCGTGAGAAGTTGAACCTTAATATCTCAGGCATACTGTGGGCTAGAAACGCCATTTCAACTGTATTCAACCCGTGACATAATCAGGTATTGATGATGTAAATATCTATTGATATCTCTTACTACGGTTTATTTTGTTATTAATATTTATATTTTATCTACCTCTCCATTCAAACTCAGTGCTCTGTGGATCCGCGAGTCATGGGAATAGTGGAGGGGCAACAAGCAGCAGACCTCTCACTTCCCCTCATCTGTGTTTGG